AACCATACACATGTGAAACATGTGGGAAAAGTTTCAATCGAGTTGGTAATTTTAATGCCCACATGAGAACTCATGCAAGTAAGAAGATGTTTTCTTGTGAAACCTGCGGGAAAGGTTTCAATAGAAGGGGCCACTTTAATGCCCACCTGAAAACGCACACAGGTGAGAAACCTTATCCCTGTTACACATGTGGGAAAACATTTATAAATGCATCAAGGCTCAAATTTCACATGATAATTCACACCGGTAAGAAACCCTATTCTTGTGAAACATGTGGGAAGCGTTTCATTCGAAAAGTGCACTTAACCACCCACGTGAGAATTCACACAGGTGAGAAACCTTATCCCTGCGAGGTATGTGAGAAAAGATTTATTGACGCGTCAACGTTGAAGTGTCACATGAGAACTCACACAGGTGAAAAACCGTATGTTTGTAACATCTGTGGGAAAGCATTTTCTGTCTTATCGACCTTTAAAAGTCACACCTCGGTTCATACAGGTGAGAAACCGTATTCCTGTGAAATATGTGGGAAAACATTCAGTCGCAGTGGTCACTTGACTGTACACGTAAGAACTCACACGGGTGAGAAGCCATACTCGTGTAAAACATGTGACAAAACTTTCAGTCAAAGGCATCATTTGACTTCCCACATGAGATCTCACACAGGTGAGAAGCGGTATTCTTGCCAAATGTGTGAGAAAAGCTTTGTTCAAAGCAGTCATTTGTGGCGCCACATGCGAACTCACACAGGCGAGACATCGTCGTCCTGAAACATCTCTGTGGGATTATCTTCAAGTGACGCTTAGGAAAATAAGAGGTTAACAGAGGAACTTTCAGATCTCAGAGCTCTGTAGTTTATTGCATGTGACAAAGTACTCGATGGATCAAATGAATCATGATTTGATCTTTCAGAGCCGACAGTGAGGCTGTCAGATTTGTCCGGTCTGTAAGTTTTGATTTTTACAGAAACACGTTGCATATTTTGAAAAATGCTGCCTTTCGTCTCCTGTTTTGTTCACTTTTGTGCTGTTCTCATGATGTAAACATGAGAAAAAAAAGTTAATGTTACAACATGTTAAGGCTTTTACTTTTTCTTATCTCTCTTCTTTTTCTCGTCACCCCCCCATGGCAGTTGTGCAGGCTACCCCTCGCTGGGCCTGGTCCTGTTGGAGGTTTCTTCCTGTTAGAAGGGAGTTCTTCCTCCCCACAGTGCTCCATGTGTCTGATTGGTTCTCTTCAAGAGTGTAGTTAAGGCTACTGTTATAGAGATAATCATAGTCACAATTACTTAGATCATTATTGGCCAGTTATTGAACTTAAAATGTCTTTTTACTGACTGTATATACACACACACACACACACACACACACACACACACACACACACACACACACACACACACAACCCTTATAGTTAAAATAAAAAGTGGTTTAATCCTAATAATTTTTTTCATCATTGAAAGCAAAAATCTGCAGACCTCATTCTGGGATGTGAACCTTACCCATAAAGCTCTTTGAGATGACTGTTCTTGTGAACTTGGCAGTGTTGGAAGGTTACTTTTAGAATGTATTCCACTACAGATTACATAATACATGCCCCAAAATGTAGTTTGTAACATATTTCATTAAATTACTTAATGTCAGTAACATGTTCTGAATACTTTAGATTACTTGATATATTGTCATGGTTTTTACAACTACATGGATGTACTGTGTGATTTGTTACTATTACTGAAGGCTACTTGCCACTGAGCTAATATTGTTAGCTGGCGTTAGCTGAGGTTAGTTCATAGACTGCTTTAGGAACTGCACATGATTATTTGCACCTAGCAGGCTGTTAATGCTTTCCACCAAGTTTAGCAGTCTGCACTCTAATAGTAATAAATCACACAGCAGTAGTAAAATCGAAGATACTGAAGTGGCACATAACCCAGGTAGCTACCACAACTAAAACAAGGTAGCTGCAGTCGGCTAATGTTAGTTTTAAAAAAGAGCTTACTTCCAGATGTTTCTTTACGTTGGAGTCTTTTGACGCTGAGAGCAGCTTGGTTGCTGACAAACAGTTTTCATTGCACGGTCAGATTTCATCCCTTTCTTCTTTAAATATGAAGTATTGTTGGAAATTCCAAGTAATAAATGTATTCCTACCTGTGCACTGTTGGTTCTGTTGTGCTGGCTCCAGGTCCATTGTGTAACTGATGCCACCAACATTAACAGGACGCTTGCTTCAGAGCCTTTATTGTGTGTTTGTTTGGGTTTCTGACAATGCGTTTAAAAATTAGAGAGGGGACAGCCGAACATATGAAACATATGTATGTATCGTATGTAATTATCACCTTTTTAAACGGTAACTGTAACAGAATACAGTTACTCACATTTTTGTATTTTAAATGTCTTCCATTACTCCCCAACACTGGAACTTGCTCTATTGATAAAACTGGCTTGAGCTGAGCAGAGGTTCCATCTTACTTTGTCTTTGTTTGCATGTTTATGCGTCACGTTTCTCTTTCTTTGTGCGGCTGGATTTACAGGAAGTGTTCCAGCTCCCGCACCATTAGTGTAGTGTCTAATATTACAATAGTTTTCTCATTATTTTAAGTATATGTTTCCAAAGAGTCTTTTTTTTTTTTTTTACATCAGTGTTTCTCCATGAAAACACTTCCTGAGTTTGGTCAGTTTTAGTAGAATTTTCTTTTGCTTAGTTTATATTTTCGTCTATTTTATGATTACAGTCTTTTCACTGTTTCACTCACTGCTGTAAATGAACCTGTAGAAATAAAATTCCTTTTGTCAAAGAAACCTGATAACATTTCTTTCACTGCTCCTTAGAGTGTGTGTGTGTGTGTGTGTGTGTGTGGGGGGGGGGGGGGTAATATGGGTGTCATCAGACACCTCAAGTCAGAAGCCACAGCTGATTCCTCTCCTGCACCTCCGGAGTGTGTGTGTGTGGGGGGGGGTAATATGGGTGTCATCAGACCAGCTAAACTTCCTGCAGTGGCTCATCCAGCGATGAGAGCTGATGATGGTCGGGTCTCGGGCTACCACCCAGTTTTCAGATGAAGAGTTTCCAAAGGGAGCGCATCAGGTGAGAAGTGCGAGGACCATGAGGCATCCATCAGTCATCCCAGAGCTGCGATCTGAAGCCACGCAACGACTACAGACCGTTGGTCAAATTCATGACTGAAGCAGCAGCAGGTGTACGAGTGCAGAGTTAAACCGCTCTCAAGTCTCAGGTGAGTAAAGCAAATAACTACCAATGGAAGTGAAGGATATCGCCTGCTGACCTATCAGGGAGTCGTAAATGCATTTTAGCTGAGGTCACCAATAGGCGGGCTGCGGCCCGGATGATTACTAGATTCTAGACTAATTTTAATCTGCCTCACCGGCGTGAAAGTGCTGCGAGCGCACCAACGTGTTTATGAAGATGTCTCTGAAGGTGAGGCTTCTCCACCTCACAGCTCCACCCAGGCCGTACGCCACCTCCTCGTGAGCTCAGAGATCTCGGGTCCCTGTTGCTGCTTCCACATGGGAAACTGGAAAAACCTGACGTCATTTCCCTGGGGGTCCCCTTCTGGTCAAGTGTGCGGTTGTGACAGTTTATAATGCAGCAGGCCACCATGGCGACCACTTTATGTCCCATAATGCACTATGTTATGACAGTCCAAGAAAAACTAGGAGTGGAAGGAGGAGCAAACACCTGATGAGTCCGTGGGTGGATTTTCTCTCAGATGTGGACACAGTTCCACAAACAGGTTTGGCCTCAGCCCACACACACACACACACACACACACACAGGCTTCTCATCCAGAGAACATGTCACCTGAGGGGCTTAAAATAAAGAGCTGCCTCACAGACACTTCCTCCCAGCACAGATGTTCTGGTCCTCTCCTGATGGGAAGCATTTAAACTGACTATCCATCATTTCTGGGATTTCCAGCTGAGGTATTCAGAATTTTCTGGACTGCTGTGGAAAAACTTTTGTTTCAGCCCATTCAGGTCTGAACTCTGACAAATCTGAGTATTAAAAACAATGTTTTTAATATTTGGAACTGAACGTGTTGATAAATAAATGTTTGAAGCTGAAGTTTAAAAACATCAAAGCGCTGCTTCAGAAACATGGCCGAGGCGTGGTTCATCTGAACAGAGTCACGTGATCAGTGACATTCAGCACGTGGCTGCTTCAGTGCCTGATTTAATGGTTTGTAAGGAAGTGAGTCATTGGTGGGGTTTTGCTGTGTTTTGGTGATTCTGTGCGAGAGATAGTGAATCAGTGATCAGAGACATGGAGCCAGACGCTCTGCCTGTTCCTAAATAAAAACCAGTTCATCAGCAATTCTGCTCCCAGGTGTAAAATGCACAAAAGAAATGCACAGTTATAGAAGTTTTAGTGTATTTTATATAAACATATGTGTCCGCTGGTTAATTGCATAATGACGTGGAAGCAGGGACCTCACAGCACAGACATACTCCCAGCCTGGTGTTAGTAGTAACAAGAAGTCACCAGCGAAAGGAGAACCATGACACACGTTTAACGAAGGAAGGTTTAATCATCAAAATGATTTATTACAAAAATAGACATAACAGTGGGCAGAGAGAACAGAGTCACACTGAGGCAGATTCAAGCTGCTCTTCATATGTTTGTCCACCAGGTGTCACCAGAGGCCTGTGTTTAAAATAGCAATGAACTGTTTTTAATTACGATTCAAAGCTTCGTTTGTCCGTCGCTGGTTTGGACCAAAGATCCTGAACGTGGGACGATAACAAGGACAAAGGAATTTGACCCTTCCTGAGCATGCGCAGTAGACGGTCAGGGCTCCGGTCAGACTGATGCGCTGCTGGTCGTTAAGGGAACGACTGAGCCCGCGCGCCGCGCGCGTGCCCTGAACGCGGTGCGGTGTCTGTAACGCACTGACGCTGCCGCAGCCCCCCCCCCCGCCCCGTCTCTCTCTCTCTCCCTCCCTCCCTCCCTTTTCTCCCCTCCCTCCCTCTCTCTATCTCCCCATCCCTCCCTCCCCCCCTCTCCTCCTCTCCCCCTCCCTCTCTCTCTGCTGCGGCTGCTCCTCTATAGGCGAGCTCCACAGAACCGACAGGACCGGGACCAAGACCGGGACCGGGACTAAAGAAGAGCGAGGAGAACCATGACGGAGAGCACGAAGACCCACGTCATCCTGCTGTCCTGCGGCAGCTTCAACCCCATCACCAAAGGACACATCCATATGTTCGGTAAGGAGGTGGGGGATGGGGTGGTGGCAGGTCTGGGTGTGTTTGGGGATAAAGATCACCGGAACCCCGGTGCTGAATATCCGCGCTAAAGCTCCGAGCCGGACTCCGGCCGCTGTCCGGGAGGGTGGTGCTGAAACGGGCGACGGCTCCGGTAAAATCCCGACGACTCAAACAAACGCAGTACGGAGCAGCCCGGGCCCACGTTCAGGAAAAACACGGAGCTGCCCCTCAACCCTCCGAGCCAAACCGTGACAAAAACACGCACACTGGTGTAAGGAGGCCGTCAGCGTGCGGGGAGCAGACCGGGGGTGTTAGTGCCTTGCTCGGCCGCCTTTCCCTGCGCGTTAGCGGAGGTTACAGGTCGGAGTGTGGTCAGAACATGTTTTCATCATAGAATCAAAACGACTGCAGGATCAATGATGCGACTGTTAGTGTGACTGTTCTGCTGGACGTTCAGAGGCCTTTCATCGCGTCACAGCGGAAAACACGACGGTCAGCGATCAGTCTCCCACGAAGAACCGCGTGACGAATACAGTCAAATTAATAAACAGGTTTACTGTAATATCAGGAGGCACAAACAGAAACGGTCTGTTCTCAGCTGGAGACATTCTCGTGATTCATTTCTGGAAGATGAATAATTCACAGAGATGGAAAAACGTAACAGAGTTTAACGTTCAGCTGATGTCATTCACTGGGCTGTGTCACGTGACCTTTCAACGAGCAACGATCTCTTTGAAGTGCAAAGATCGATAAGAGTCATCGCTGTTTGTCCTTTAAATCCTTCTGAACTGCAATTTATCCATTAAAACAAACATCAAGTCATTGTGAACTCAGCTCTTCTCCAAACGCAGTTCCCTGCTGGTTAACTTGTGTCCCTGTGTATGTAGGTCACCTAAAACCAGGTTTGTGGCACCGAATTAAAACTAAATGTGGAAAAAACCTGAAACGATGTCCTGCAAATGTGATGCGAACGTTTCTGTATCACTGTGAACCGAAGAGATCTTTAAATATGACACCCACCATTTACACACAACTACGTCCCACAAAATGACATTTAAAATATAAATCTATAAGAAGGCTGTTAGTTTGTGTTACTGCACACTGAGTTTGAGGCATATTCACGATCACACTGTTAAAATGTTCAAACTTTAAACAATAAAACATTAAAATGAGAAAAGATTTTCTTCTGTTCCTGTTGCTTCTGTTTCCTGTTTCCTGTTCTTCAGCGCCTGGCTTTGCTTCTCTCTCCTTGTTTCGTGGACTTCCTGTTTTCTTGCTGAACTCTTCTCCACGTCCTGCTTGTTGTTCTTCCTCCCGCTGAATGTCTGAACTCTGAAACTCTTTAATCTGAAGTTTTCTGCCTTCATGTGGTCAGAGCTTCTTTTTCATCCGCTCACAGTTTGCTTGTTGAGGCTGATTCTTCATTAACAGCTGTCACCCCCTGATGGGACAGGCGACGAGTTCTGGATCAGAGGGTCACATAAACTCTAACGTGGTTCCCACGCCTTTGTTTTAATCAGATACAAATACAAATGTAAGCTTTTGACAGTGTGGAGCAAATACAGCCGGATAGAAAGCGATGAGTCTTTACTGTTGAGCTTTCTAAAGGTTTTATCCTCATTGATTAAACAAAAGGAAGTTAATGATCTTTGATCCTGAAGACGCTTCAAGTAAATAAAAGTTAAAGGCTTCACGACTGGGCTGAGAAACGTCGTGCCATCGTCTCTGCTCTCGGCCTGCGACTGCACATCTTTCTTGATGTGTGGGTTCAAACATGGAAGCAGCTCTCTGTGAATAAATGATGTTCTTAGATAACAGAAACAGTCTGCGAGGATAAACGAGGCTCCTTCTACACTCGGTGAAGATGTAGGCTCTTCTGTCCTCCATCTCTCATTATATTATCCACCTTTTTCTTTTGTTAGCTTGGAGCTCCAGTGGAGACGCCTGTGTGTTCAGTTTGATACGGCCGTGAGTCGCTGCAGAGACCACAGCCAAAATATTTCAAGAACCTAAAGTGGGACAGAAAAACAGGAAAAAATGATTTGGACTTGGGGCTTGAATGTAACAAGCAAAGGAACTAAACCCAGCTGTGCCCCCGCTGACCGTCGTTAAAGAGTTTTTCTAGTTTTTGTGTTTTATTTTAGTTTGTTTGTTTATTCGATTCATTTTTGTTTTCTTGTTTTCATTTCAGTTTAGTCTCAGGTGTTTTCCAGAGTGACTTCTTTTGTTTCACTTTCATTTTTATTGCTTTGACTGTGACTCAAACTGGCAACAGACAAACTGAATCCAGTCCCTCTGTTTATGTAGCGAAGCGTGTAGCAGTGTGAAAGTGTCAGTGATGGATGCTGTTTAATGTATGCAGTGTGTTAAAAAGTGTGCAAAAACCTAAATAACCCAACAGACCAGTGGAAGCTGCCCAGAGAGGCTGAACGGCCTGAGAGAGCCGGCTTTATACTCTTCACCACATCCACCCTTCAGGTGCAGCCACTCACTGCTTCACCCAGGTAGAAGCAGGAGGCACAGAGGGCGCTAGGCTAGGCTAGGTTCAATTAGATTAAGCTAGGTTTAGTGTTTTATAACTTTGGAGCTAATTATGATGAAGGGATTCAGCGCTGGTATTACAGCACGGACACTGAACTCACGTCATGTAAAGATCTCATCAAACCACCAACTTCAATTCACTTCATTTTTTGTAGTTTTTATTTAACTTGAATGTTTCTCCATCCCTGTTTTTAGGCTTAGCTCAGCGTAACTTTGCCATAGATTTGGTATTTGTTTGTAAGTAAACCAACCTGCTGCAAACATTGAACCATGGCTGACAAAATCTTGGACAATAAAACATTAAAAAAAATCTTTTTATGTTTGTTCCTTTGTTTGCAGAAAAAGCCAGAGAATATCTGCACAAAACGGGACGCTTCATTGTGATCGGAGGGATCATCTCACCGGTGCACGACTCCTACGGGAAAGCTGTGAGTGAGCCTTGAATCGTTTCATGGGGTCGGTGGCAGTTCGTTCTGTTTTTCTAAACTTTCCTTCATGAAGATGATAAAGGATCATTTTGTAATTCTCAGTTTGACCTCATGCCTCATTGTTTCTATGCATAAACCAGATACAATGATGCAGGAGCTTGTCTGTTCACGTTGTTGTTGCAGTGTTGTGTGGTAGCTTCAGTGCAGAGCTGTGTTTTCCTTATAGGCTGGCGTTATTAGTTGATGAAGGTCGCTGATGATGAGGAGGAGTTTTTCTGAAAAGTGACAAAAATGATTCAAGTCAACATCGTGAGAGTTCAGCCCTGTTCAGGATAAAACCCGTATAGCTCCTTCAGCTAGAATTAACCAAAAACACACGTTTGCATTGTTAGGGGCGTGGCCTCTTTGACTAACAGGTGGATGGTGACACGGGCGGCTGTAGCTGCTGCTAGGCTTCATCTGAGCCAACTGTAGCCTCTGAAATGGCGCTCTGGACGGCGTTTGTGCCGTTGGCTGCTGTGAGGTTGTTGTACTCACAGACCTATCAAGACGGCTAAGCTGCAGTTTGGGTGCACAGTGAAATCCTGTGCTTGGATGTAGCTTGCTAACTAGCATTAGCTAATAACCCGTCACTGCTGGCACCATAAAAACAACATAAATGGCCAAAATGTTGACGTGAAGCTTAAAAACCAACAAACAAGAAAATGTCCTTGTGACGTGGCTACTTCCATCATTTATATACAGTTTGTGATCATTGGACTTTTCTGCAATAAATAATTTAAATCTTGAAATCTAGGTACAGTTTTTCCCAGAAGTGCAACCAACCTCAGTAAATAAAACTGCACGTTGAAAATGACGGTAACACGTACGCAGTGCTGTGAAACAGAACGCCAGGAGGACCAGATTGGAATGAGGCCAGCCAGGCATGCGCAGAAATATAAATCATCCAGTTAGAACCAAACAATTTCTGCTCCGCACGAATGGTAATAAGGTTGAAAAACAGATGTTACATCTTGGTTATTGTTAGTATTGCGGACAGATGCCTTTAACATGCGGCTTCATCCTCCTGCAGAGTGCAGACTGTGTTTCGTATGTTAGAGTCGAGCACAGATCACGCTGTCTGCAGCTGCAGCTTTCCACTCTGCTTCCTGCAGGAATTAATGAAGGTCTCGTCCTACTTTTGCTCTGCCTCTACAGAAACACACAACATGAATAATAGATGCTACAGAAATCCAGTTTCATCCACTTTGCTGTTCGTTCCAGTTATGTTTGTTTTCCAGCATCGTCACCTGCAGCTGAACGATCCCAATGATGGATTGTTAACGATGGAGATTATTCACATCGCTCATCTTATTAGTGTGTCAGGCCCGATGACTCACAAACCTCTCTGTCCTCAGAAAGCAGTGCGTCAGGCTTTATTCACAGGTGGAAAACGCGACGTGGCCGGCTTTAGAGCCACCGTGAAAGCAGAACATTTCCCACCTGCTCTCCGTCTGTTTTATCCAAACGACTCCTGCTTTCATATTTCATTGATCTGGATTTCCCACCATCCCCTCTGAACGGCACACATTTTCTTTAATGAGCTACCAGAAAGACTCTTAATTACTTTGAAGTTTTTTAATCCTTTTGGTGGGAGGAGGACCTCGCAGGGGTGAAACACATGAGACGACACAGAAAACTGTGGCTTAAGAAAAGATAAGAGCCTGATCGATGGATGAATCTCAAATCTAACGAGGATAATCAGTCAGAGCTGAAGATTTGTTTTGATCTAGATCTTATTTTGGTTGGAAAACTCATCTTTCTGTTACCTGGATATTAGTTCTGAGTTTAATTAAACACCTGAGCTGAACCGTCCGAGGCAGGGTGGAGTGGGTGGAGGACGAGTGTCAGGGGTGAAAGGGAATGTTTACAAGATGGCAGTGAGACCTGCTGTGATGGTTTGGAGACTGTGGAGGCCGAGCTGAATGGTTCAGATGTTCACTGGGAGTCAGCAGCATGGGCGGGATCAGAGTCACAGAGCCTGGTTTGCACACGTGCAGGAGGGAGGGTGGATATATCAGACAAAGCTGCCAGGCAGCAGGAAAAGAGGAAGACCGCAGAGGAGCTTCATGGATGTAGTGAAGGAGGACATGAAGAAGAAGAGAAGGACTTAAATTCAACCTAATTTGCTGGTTAAAGATGTGAATAGTGCACATGAACTACAGGACTCTGTTTAATTCAATTTAGTTTGATTTATACAGCGCCAAATCACAACAGTTTACACTGTCAGGTAAAGATCCCACAGTAACACAGAGGAATCTCAGAAAAGCCCAACAAGCAGATGGGCCACTGTGAGCAGGAGCTTTGGCAACAGGAAGGAAAAGCTCACTTTTAACATCTTCTCAGTGAGTTTAGGATGAGTTTCCTTTCATGCTTGTTTTTCATGTTTTTTAAACGTGGCTGACGGCGCTGCTCTGTGTCTGCAGGGTCTCGTGTCCAGCAGACATCGCCTCACCATGTGTCAGCTGGCCGTGCAGAGCTCTGACTGGATCAGGTGAGACTCTACCCCCTTTAGAGGCTTTTACTCTGGAAATAAACACGTTTGAGCCATGTTAGAGACAGGACTTCCTGCAAGGAGTTTCACATTAAAAGCTCTGAAATGCCAGTATGTGGCTCGTTGTTTATTTATTTATTTTGGGGCCGTAAATCATAAAAGCAGCAAAACTTTTGGTAGATAAGTTGCAGAGTTGTGGACGTCATGCAGGTAGAAACATGAGAGTTATTATTATTATTTAATAGAAATAACCCTGATATCAACACTTTGTGTTTATTGTTTATTATATGCTGTCATCAGCTCGGTGGTTTTCACGTTTTTGTTGAAAAAACAGCCAACGTCAAATAAAACCACAGAAGAAGTGAACAAATGTCCCCTCAGAGAGACAAAGCAGCTGTGCTGGTGCTCAGTGGCCAGAGCCGGAACATGAAGTGCTCCTGTAATGTCCACATAACCGTGTTTGTGCTGTTGGAGCCTTTTTAATGCATTTATCTGAACGATAATATGGCTGCTGTGAGGTCACTGTACCAACAAGTAACGCCCACGAGGTTTGGGGTTTGGGTGGCTGAAACTGAGAACAGGACACTAAAATCAGGTTGCTGAATTTGAGTGAAGCCACAGGTGATTCGTGTCCAGAGAGAAGCCGTGAAACACTGGTCAAAACCAGACCATTGTAAAGAACCCCGTCGTTCCCCGCAGGCTCTTAATGTGAAACATCTGCAGGACGTTTTATTGGCAGCTGAGACTGAAACTAGCATTTGTGTCCTCATCATTCTTTACCTGTTTGTTTGGTGAAGGGTGGACCCCTGGGAGTGTTACCAGGACACCTGGCAGACCACCTGCAGCGTGCTGGAGCATCACCGCGACCTGATGAAGGTGGGCGTTTCCAGTGGCGTGTCTAGAAAATTTTTGTTGGGGGGGCCAGGTAGGGGCACAGATTTGGAGAAGGGTGGCAGATGTAATTGGCAGGTAATGTTTAAAAAAAAATTCTACCAACCATTAACCATAATTCAATAATCCTATAAACCTAATAACCGAATGCGCTTTTAACTCTTATTAGAATGAGATTTTAACCACTACGGTGCAAAGTTTTTAGATACTGCGTTGATAAAGTACAAGAGATACAATCAGTGCTTTGTCAGTGTTTACTCAGCATTCAAGGACAACAATATTTGCATAGTATTTTTACTGACATATAGTGCACATATGTTTTGGGCAAAAACATTTTTGAAAATTAAAATACGAACATTTGTAACAAACAATTGACAAATTAGCCAATGCCAATGCAAAACTTTATCTGCCTGTTAAAAAAAGAAGATAATCTTCTCACAAACTGGTGTTTGATTTTGAAACAGGAAAAAAGTGGGGAAACAACTGAAAAGACTAACATTTGAATAAAACCTGAAAGCAAGTAAATACTTTCTATGCTGCCTTATGGTAAACTTTGGTAATATTGATAAAGAACAACACTGGCTGATGATGAAATACAGTCAGCTGGCATGGTGACACTGCCAGTATTAACCTGCAGGGCTGGACTGGGACAGAAAAATTGGGCATTTTGACTACAGACCGACCCACCAGGTAGTAAAACCATAAAGCCTTTGAATGAAAACAAACCCTGTTGTGACAGTGATGTACAGTCTTGTTGGTATATGTATGATTTCTATACATTTTACATCAGATAAAAACTTTGGTTGAAAGATTTAGATAATTATTTAATAAAAGCGAGATATTTTAAATGAGAATAAGAAAGAAAAGTAATTTCTTTGTGCTCCACCTTTCCCTGTTAATTCCCTACCTGGCCCCCTGGCATAACTTTGCTAGACCCGCCCCTGCACAGTTACCAGCTGTCAGCTGCTTAGAAAAGGATCCTGGTGTTATTTGTCTCTCAGAAACAGTTGATAACTTCAACTCATTCATGTCACCTAAAAGGTAAACCTGTTTCTCCATCACCTGTTCAGCTCTGATGATTCAGTAAGGACATCTCCTGGTTTCATCTTCATGTTTCCCTCTCACCACATATCCAAACCGACATCATGACCAGCAGCTTTACAGCTGTGGCTCCAGCAAACATCAGCTGATACTTGAAATTAATATTAAATAAATTCTAACAACAGCTGATCAAGCTTAAACGTGCTGCTGTTGTTTTTTAGCGCGACATCCGCTGGTTTCCTCTTTCTGGCGCAAAGTGGGCGATAAACAAACAAGAGAGACGATCAGCTGATCATTGATCAGTTTCATGATTGAAGTAGCAACAGAAGAGGGAGGGGAGAGAATGAGAGAAGAAGAGGCCGCTGTGCAGCGTAAACACACAGAATAAATCCAGCTTTGTCTTTTTTCATTCTAGCTAAAGTCCGGGACAAACTGCGTCTCTTCTCAGCTCAATACCAAACGCATAATATTTTCTCTGAATGAGGGACCATTCCATTTTTAAGGAGCCGTTGGCAACTCTACTAACTAACCTTATGAATAAAATAAAGTTCACTATCAGTAACATCATAGCAACTGAACAGCTGTACAGAAACTCCTTCATGCTAGCTCGGGCAGTATGAGTTATTGCAACTGACTGTAAAAAGTCAGCACAACAAAAATAAACTCCACCTAAACTTGGTTTATATCTGACCCAGATAGACTGCAGGTCATAACTTCTTACCTGAAGTTCAGTTCACCTGACACTCGGACTGGCGGCTGCCTCGGGGCTCTCCTCCTGCCTCCCCTTCCCTCATCCACCTGTTGCCTCTGTGGAAGCCCCATCATAGCCACCACCAAACAACTGAGTTATTTTTACACATCGACCTGCATCTGGCCAATCCACCACCTCTCATTGTTCATGCCCTTACAAAATAAAAATAAAAAAATAAGTCACCGGGCATATGCCCGGTATGCCCGATGGCCAGTCCAGCTATGCAACCAAATCTGCAGCTCCATACAGCAATGTTACGACTCAGATGATATCTTATAACTCATAACTCTTATGTTAGCTGCCCTCAGTAGCATACTGTCAGAAATATTCGAGGGCTCCAATAATTCTTTAAGTGTTATTTTTTCCTTGGTATTCTAATTTCACCGAAGTTTACTAAACTCAACAAACTTAATATTACTTACCGGGACATTTATTCTGTCCTCATTTTCTTTCACCGAAAAATTGTTTCCAGCGGTGCCGTCTTTCGTGCTTGGCTCTCCTACCTTTGCTAACGTGATGCGCATAGCGCAGAAGCCGATGCTGCATTCACTTACACTCGGATATCTGAGCTTCACCGTGAAAACATAATCGGACATTTGATATTTGATTGAATTGTATTGTTTTGCCTTTGGGGTGGCACCTGGGGTGGCCAGTCTGGTTGGGGGGGTGGCCTGTGCCCCCCCAGGCCACCCCGCTGGACACGCCATTGGGCGTTTCTGACTCTGTGTATCTGCAACGCCCCTCAGTCTTTTCATTTCCATTAGAATCGGTCATTGTAGTAACAGCGGCTGGAAAGACATCGTCGAGCCCTTTGTTGAGTCATTTCCATGACTCTTCTTTGGTCTCACTTTAACTGGTTGAGCTGCTAAAGGTCTCAGGATCAATTCAAAGTTTAAAGACGCGTATTTTAAATTTCTGTATTCAATATTATTTCAAACCTTCCAAAATGAAAAAGCATCATCAGAAGGTGACAAAAAACTGCTCTAAACTGCTCTACACCCGTCACTGAAATGAGGCTCAACAGCAACAAACATTCCCACTAGTGAAATGCTGCCCCCTGCTGGGGAAAGAGTTACAGAAAGCACCTGTAACAACTCCGAGATGAAGTTACAGAAGAGTTTCTAACGATGTTTGCGTCCTCAGAGAGTCACCGGCTGCATTCTATCCAACGTCAACACGCCGTCAACCACTCCTGTGATTGGTCAGCCACAGAACCAGACCACGCCCATCTACCAGAACAACAACAACATGAACCACACGCCCACAGCCAGTGAGTCATATTTCAGGTTCTTAATGAGTGTTAATGAGCTGATGTGTGGTGCTGGGCTCTAAACGTCCTCTCTGCCTCTCAGTCAAGCTGTGGGGGAAGATCAGCGAGAGTTTGGGCAAAATCTGCTGCGCGCGCCCGCACATCGAACGCTTCACCTTCGTTGGTAAGAATTTACAAATAAGAACATTACAAAATAAAAGCTGAAGTTACAAAATAAAAGCTCGATCCCTTATAAATGCCAGTTCGGATCGAGGACGAGATGGAGAAGCAATCAGAATTTGATGTCTTGACTTTACACACACGACCACAACATTCACACATAATGAAAATAACCAATAAACAAGTGTTTTTATGTGGATACATGAATATGTTCTTCTGTGCTGTTTATTCTTTCTTTCTCATTACTGTCTAACATAAAGTTTTGATATTTCTCTATAAAAGCAACAAAAACACAGCTGATCTGGACGATCCGCCCTTCCCTCCTCGTGCTGCTCTGGACTTCCTCCAGCACAGCTGCTGTTTTTAGTGTTTGAACCTCAGTTGGGGGATTTTTTTGGAAATGGTGATGTGAACTTTGTGCTAATTACTTAACAAAGCGATTTTCAAATTGAGGAAGCCTCGGAGTTTGTGCTCGGGTGTAGATAAGCTCACAGCACAGGTGCCACCCTCACCTCTTCAAGCGTGCCGCGGCGCAGTCTGCTCATGTGACTGCATTAAGCCTGCACGTTTTCTAGTGGGGGGAGAAACCAAACATTGACATGTGCAGAGCGGGGACATAGATGGAGCTGCCAGGCTGGAGGAAAAAGAGGAAGACCTCAAATAAGATTGATGAAGGTAGAGAAGGTCTGTGTGACCGAGGAGGATGTGAGGAGATCCACTGTAGTGAGCCCTGGAGGGAGCGCCTGGAAGAAGAAGAAGAAGTAAAGGATGAAACATGCTCCTCGTGATGCTCCTGACCTGATACCTGATGAGCGTGCTGCATGGTCAGATCTGCAGACTCAGCTCTTCTCACCTGTGATGATCAGTGGAACAGAAGGTGATGCCTGATTGGTCAGAACTAGCAGGTGTGGCAGAAGTCCAGAGGTGCAGAACGAGAGGCCCTTAAAGTTTCAATCAGCTAAATTCAAATTGGGGTTTTTGTATGAGCGGCGTCACAAAACATTTGGTTCCACTTCACAGCTCAGTGTGTCAGTAAGAGCTGTCTGAAGACAAGGCGGCACTATCACGAGGAGCCTGCGTGTGCCCGTGTTTTGCTTCACCGCCGTGTAATCACATGTGTTTGTCTCTCTGTGTCAGATGAAAACGCCAACCTGGGGACTGCGATGAGATACGAGGAGATCGGTGAGTGGGGTCTTCAGTGTGTGGACCTGAGCGGACTCGTGTGTCGTGTCCTCCGGTTTTCCTTCCTGCTGTGTTTGTTTGTTTGGATCCGGTAAACATGATGTTTACTGAGGGCGTGTCTCTTTCCTCCTGCCTGTTTGCCGTCTGTAGAGTTGCGCATCTTGCTCCTGTGTGGCAGTGATCTCCTGGAGTCCTTCTGCATCCCTGGCCTGTGGAAGGACAGTGATGTAAGCATACCATAGCCCCTCCCACTTACATGTAGCCCCGCCCCACTCACATGTAGCCCAGCTCCTCAGCTCTTTTCCCAAACTGTAGGCTGGATATAAAAGATGGACGTAGCTTTTGGGTGTGCGAAGTGAAGCCGGTGCCTCGAAAACTATTTGATGTTCATTTTGGAAATAATGTCTCCATCAAAGTAACGCAGGCAGTAACCCGGAGAGCAGCTTTCACAGCTAAAGCTCTCAGAAGCTTAACTCAAGGCTTCAAAAGTGGACTTCAGGGGCTATGTCCATTTTCAATATACAGTTTAATCCCAGGACTCGGCTGTAACGATGAATGTTGTTGACAAGGGAAAATTTTCCAGCATTATTCTCTCCAAAGCAGCGCTGCACGCAGAGCAGACGATCCATAAATGAGATTTATGCAGTGAAATTCACCAGAAACGCAGCGAGGTGTTTTTAGAGGCCGGCTGGAAGTGTCCGCGCTGTCTCTTCAGCCTTCGGCTGCATTAGAAGATGTAAAGTTACTAAACAGCCTGAGCAATAACAAGAAATCCAGATTTCTCACTTCCTGTCGAATGCTTATTTGGAGAAACAGAAAGACTTTAAGAAACGTTTCTATGGAAGATAAACGGGGACACCTCGTGTCGGTCTGTTTGTACGACTTCAGTGAAACCGTAACACTTCACACATGAGGCTAGTTACTTTTATTTTGAAGTCTTTCGAACTGGAGGACACAGAATGGTCCCGTTCTGATTGGCTGCAGTTTTCCTGATAGCAGCGTTTCAAGGCGTGACGGGCCTGAGCTGCACAGACGGCTGATTTATGATGCCGGTGGGGTGAGAGTGCTGCTGCTGACATCACTAAAGGCAGCTTCAGGTTTTGCAGAAACGTCACTTTCTGTGTTTTCATGGAGAAATGAGTCTCACTAAATGAAGACTCATAAACGCTGTGATCCAGTTTTAACGTTCGTTATAAACTCGCGAGGACTGAAAAGTTGCAGCAAACTTTCCTGCGTCAACAACCGAGGTGAAGTGAACAGGAGGCGATCGATCGACCGCTTGTCAAAGAAAGCGTCAGTGGTTCACTCACCTGGTGTGTGTGTCAGAGCTAGGAGGAATTTATTTGACTGCAGGTGTGTTTCCATCCACCTGTTTTTACTCACATTTTCAGTCTGAGATAAAAACGCGATGGAAACGCCAAAAATCAAATAAATCTGAAGTAATGTGACTTGATCGTCCACCGGAGAGACCAGAACTGCTGAAACGAAGTCATCAGCTGTGATTGAAGCGGCGAGGAAACGGTAATCTTCCTCATGTGAACGCTTAAACTGACAGAAATGTCTTATTTTATCAGATCATTCAGGTGATTCTATCACATTAATGTGTTATTCTTGGATTCTTCTAGAGCAGCTTTGCATGATTTACAGTTTAAAATAATCCTACTGTGTCTTATACTGGGCCTCAACGCAGCCCCTCAGTTCATGCTCTGTCTGAAATGTGCTTTTTAAGTTCCTCCCCCTTTGAGCCATCCTTCTTCTGGTTGGCTAATCCCTCACAAACAGAAGGTTTCAAGTCTGTGTGCCTGAGGTGACCATGTAAGGACAAACCCTCTCTATGACATCATACGTAGCCAACAGTGGAACAAAACGGAGAGTTTAGAGCAGCTCACAGGATTTAGATTCATGTTAACTGGAGATGAGCATCAGCCATCAGAACAGGACATAAAGAGAGCAGCTCAGTCAGCTTTTCTTTTGCTCTGATGAAGCTGAAGTCGTCGTCCCGTCGTTCAAACCGATCTCAGCCTGAAGCTCGTCTTCTTCTGCTTTCAGATGGAGGTGATTGTGGGAGATTTTGGGATCGTGGTGGTTCCTCGTGATGGCGCCGACACAGAGAGGATCATTAATCACTCCTCCGTTCTGCGCAAGTTCAAGGTCAGAGCTCACCTCCAGATCACATGACCTTTGACCCAGAGAAACATCCTCCAGCGTCTCAGCTCATTTCTGTTCTGTTTCAGGACAACATCATCGTGGTGAAGGACGCGATAAGCCACCCGATGGCCATCGTCAGCTCCACCAAGAGCAGGTGGGAACTCAGATATTTAGAAAACGCTTTCGCACCAGCGTCCACGTTTCAGTTTCATGGTTTTCAAAGTTTTAACATTCAAAGAGGTTCATTAAAATGAATTCACTCTGGATCCAAACTGTTGAAAGCGTGACCTTTACGCCGTCTGTTTCTCCGCCCACAGACTGGCGCTGCAGCATGGCGACGGCCATGTTGTGGACTACCTGAGTCAGCCCGTCATCGACTACATCCTGCAGAGTCAGCTGTACATCAACGCCTCGGGATAGAGACGACAACAACCTGCCCGCATGAAAACAGGGAGACTGGAGGAGGAGGGGGAGGGGGGTCCTACCTACTACCATCATCTATTTAAAACACGAGCCCTCCTCCTCCTCAATCGAAAACTTGTCTGTCTTCTGTGTCAAACATATACTCTTCTTTGAGCTGTTGCTTTCCAACAGGAGCGTTAGTGCTCCTCCTTCTGTCTGTGTCATGTGACTTTACATCAGGGGAGGGGGAGGGGGGTATTTTGGGAGGTCTTGGGGACGATGCACAGAGGTAACTCCTCAGGGCTGTGGCGGCGACGGCGGTGTTTTCTCTTTCTCGTTCTTTATTAAGGTCTGCGAATGCATGACACAGTCGGGCATGCTCAGTGTGCGCAGGATCGTGCTGGGCGGGGCTTCATGCAAGAACCATTCATGAGCTCAGGATGCCGGCCCGGCTTACACATCCACAGATACTTAGTCCCAATCTGAAATACGGTCCACTGAAAGAGACAGACAGCTGCAGCAGAGCAGGATGATCCCCATGAATTTGTTTGAGCTGTTAAAGATTTCGGCACAATTAACCCCGTCACCAAACACCTGATGTTCCACCAGGTTCCACCTTTAACCACACTTCAACCAAGAAGCGCCTCCGGCTGACTGAAGATGACGGAGAGCTGCAGCGGTAAGATCAGAGCCTCCCTGAATCGACACTCCTTATTTCCTTAGACCACGTGGACCAGTCAAAACCTCTAGGCTGGATCAGTGCGTGGGTCACTCAGGTTGCAGTACCATGTAACGGCCACTAGTTGCTGACTCCAGTTCAAAACCTTCTTGTTGGATGACCTAAATGTGTAATGATGGCGTGCAGGAAGTCTCGCCACGACCTCCGGCTCTAAACTGCTTTTCTCCACACACACCAGAAATACTTTAAGGACCCAGAGCACCAGGCTCAGTCTGTGCACGGTGCAGCTACAGTAGCTAACACTGACCCGTATTTCCAGTAAGCTGTGAAACACCAACCCCAAATCCTTCCCAGGCTTTTCCCAGGCGTCACACTCGCACGGTGTCCGAGGAAGGAGCTCCAGGGTCGGAGCAGCGCAGGGCGAAAGGGTCTAGAAGCTTCAGTCGTCATTCAAAACTAAAGTTAGAAAGAGCTCACACCAAGTGTCCGAGCGTGATGACTCAGCAGCACCAGCAGGTGGCGTTATGCTTCATTGTGTCCATCTTTATTTACAGTCTGTGGCGTTCTTGCATGAGGCCCGTCGTTTCCTGCAGCTCTTCTGCAAAAATGTAACACCGCGACGCTGCTGCCACATAATCCGGCTCTCTCTTCCACACGTAGATGCGCCAGGAACCAGAGCTCGGCACATACTGCAGGTAACCATCAGGCTGTAGCCAAGCTTAAGCTCTGCAGTGATGAAGATGATGTCCTCGGCGGCAGCAGTGTTCAGCATCCTTCCTCCTCGTTTGCTCCCGTTCTTAGACTGCATGCTTAGACAGTTTGGTTCTGGCATGAGTGTTTATCACTTGGTAGATTATAATCTGTTGTGAACGTGTTTGCAAAAAAAGAAAAACAAAAGAAAGAAGTTAAAAAAAGATCAAATATCTATATGAAAAAAATAAAACATCGCTGCAGCGGGGATCATCGTCTCCCACATCCGGCCATTTCTATTCGCTCTGTACAGAAGGCATCCCCGGGACACGTACGATTTCTACACGCGGTCAGGCGTGTGTGTGTGTGTGTGTGTGTGAGTGTGTGTGTGTGTGTGTGTGTGTGTGTGTGTGTGTGTGTGTGTTTAAAGGATTCGTTGCTTTCAGTCACTTTTTTTGTATCATGTAGCTGAAAATTCGTATCTTTTTAATTAATCTGCCTTTTCTGTTACACTCACTTCTTCTACATGTAATCTGTGATGGCATTTTAGGTGTGTGTGTGTGTGTGTGTGTGTGTGTGTGTGTGTGTGTGTGTGTGTGTGTGTGTGTGTGTGTGTGTGTGTGTGTGTGTGTGATTTATGAGCACAAATGTGTGTTTACAGATCAGGACAGAGGTTTAATTACAGTCATCAGTGTCACTCTCCAAAGAGGATGTAAGGAAACGTGAGTTTGACCGTTTTCAGCTGTTTGTTTGTTTCGCTGTGTTCGTGTCCACGTCACCGCTCTGCTTCTGAACTCATTTGAAGCTGTGGTTACATTCACACCTCGCTGCTGCCAAAATAAAATATTTCTTTGACTAAAGCACCTCAGCCTCTCTGACTCAGATGGGCTCATTTCATCCTGCTCGTCTTCAGCGTCCGGTCTGTTGCGTCGGATGTTTGACCCACACACAGAAATACCAGTTACATGAATCTAAGAAGTGATGAATAATGAAGTGAAACATGGTTTAAATGTCAGAACTTTTATCTTTTATTTTCATATAAATATTCTTGGTGGTCAGACTCGGTAGAACAAAAACACTGAATGCATGAAGGTTTAAAAACGATGGTGTATGTACAGTTATAAATACTCTAACATATATTCACAGAATGCAAACACACAGAATATATTTTTATAAAAACAGCAGATACTCCCCGCTGAGCGTAGAAGGAAACAGCAGTGCATTAATCTGCTCCAAAAGATCCTTTTACTAAAAACTGAATGATTTAGACAAAATCATTCAATAGAGAAAAATAATGTGTAAGGAGCACATGTCTTATGCCTACGTGATGAGTTTAAGGTGTCGTACAGTTTAGATTTAGGGACAAATGAATGAAAACATCAGAGGTGATTTGTCTTTAAATTTTAAAAAGCAAGATTCAAACTCAGAGGTTTAGAAACGAGTTAGCACGTTAGATACGGATTCTAAATAATTCAATATTTTTATGTATTACAGACAAAAAGAAGGTTGTCAGTAGTTGAAAAGTGCAAAAACACAAAGTGATGGCAGTAAGTCAGGTCACGCTTTAGGCCTCCTCGATGGGTGGGCTGTTGTAGCAGCCGTTGGGGATGGATGCCAGGATCTCCCTGAGGTTAGCGATGTCTGCCAGGATGGTGTCGATGTCGCGGTTGATCGAGTTGAGCTGGCGCATGTGCGCGGCCTCCTGCTCCTCCATGTTTCTGAGTCGGGGGCTCAGATTGCCCTCCACAGCTTTCTTAGCACCAGCCAACGAGTCCTCCAGCTGCTTCACCTTCTTTAAATCCACAGCACTGGACTGGTCTGAGAAAAGAGAGTAGACGCGGTGAGGAAGCAGCTCGTGCTGCCTCAGAAGGGCACTCAGGCCTTTCTGGAGATTGTGAAGCTGACCCCGTTAAAAAGCAACGTCTCCAGGAAAAGAAATCTCCAACAGTTGATTCTGTTTCCCACAAACGCTACGTCCAGATGAACAGAATCAACTTTTGGAGATAAAAAGCAACGCGTTGCAACTTCATAAATAAAACAGGACTTCAGGTTAAACTCCCAAAGTGTGAGTCAGATAAAAAGTGTACGTACTGGTTTTAGCCAGCAGACCCTGGACCTCTCGCAGAGTTTTCTGCACTTCCTCGCTGACCAGCCTGGCGTTGTTGTAAGCTCCACCCGCTCCCAAAGACGCCTGCAGGGGAAACATTTACATCTTTAACCCCGTGTCCATCGTTTTATACGAGTGCGTCTGTGCGTCTGTGACAGGTTACTTCAGTGTGGTCAGTTTACCTCCTGGGCGTCAGCATGCAGGTTTTCAGCTTTCTCCAGCTCGGAGGCCAGATCTCCAACAACGCCTCCCGCCGTTGTTTTCAGGTTAGTCGCCTCTCTGTTCAGTTTGGTAGCTTCTTTCAGTATATTGTCATGAGCCGGCAAAGATGCAAATTCTCCCTGAAGGGTAAAGACAAAAGTCTCCGTTCAACTTAAAAAATAACCAATCAAACACATTTGTTTAAAGAAATTTCACAGAGTCAATTCTACAGCTGCTTTCTTCAACAAACGTAAACTTGTCCCTGACGTCTCGCCTGTTTTATCATTTCCAACATAAAGAATGCGTCATAAAGTAACGCCACAGTATTCATGCTACCTCCAGACCAGTGACCACGTCCCCGAGCTTGTTGATGTTTTCCAGGGCGTTATCATAACTGTCCTGAACATCTCCCAGGATGGACAGCGTTGCATTATTATTGCCAGCAGCCTGCTGGATGGTGGTCTTGATGTCAGGCAGACGCTTGATGGCAGCGTCTGCCTTTGTTTTGCTGCCTGCGATCTGCTGGTCGAAGCCTGAGAAGAAAGAAGAGTGGCATCAGCCTGCCGCTAGAGTTATGGTGGTGAGTGCCGCTCCATCGCTCGGTGAGCCTACCTTTCAGGGTTTTCAGGGCATCTTCTAGCTCATCACTTTTGCTGTTGATGAGTTTGATGGCTCCTTCGGTGTCAGCTTTGGCAACATTGACTCTGTCCACGAGGCCGTTGTACTCCTGCAGCGAGGGATTGAGAACAGAGGTGTTGATTGTTAAAACGTCCAACGTTACAGCAGAAATAAACATGTTTACTGATACTCAAACGATTTTGGTCATTTAGCCATTTCCTCCTTTAACTGGACATCTCCTGCTCACCAGAGGTGAATCTGTGACACTTTCGTACCTGCTGGGCAGCTTTGCCGTTGGCCAGCAGGTCCTCAGCGACAGCCTTGTCTCTCAGTATGTCTTGCTGCAGCGCATCAATGCCTGCGAGGTTCTCATCCATTGCCTCTGTCACTCCATCCACCCTGGAACGCATCGCATCAGTCGCCCCCTGTGCATCATGGGAGAACAAAGGAGGTTAGAGACACTGAACAAGTAGATGATAATAAAAAGAAGAATCTGTCCTCTCCAGCCATTACCTGCAGAGATGGGGGGAGGTTTTGCTCCATGTTGGCGATGTCTTTCAACATGCCGTCCGCCATTTTGCTCTCCTCTATGGCATCGCTGCTTAGACGTTTGGCTTGGTTCTCAAAACCCTTCACCTGAGCTGAAGTCTGTTCATACCTGGACACACACAGGTGGCTCCAGTTTAGTCTTTAGGCACCGGGTTTAGATTCTGCTGTCATTAACAAATCTGAAGCGTTTACATGCAAAGTGCACGTAAATCAACAAAGTGGTTGATTCAGAGTCTAAAAGAGTCTTTGTCTCTGAAGCTCAGAGGAGATACTTACATGGTTTTCAGGTCTCCAATCAGCTCTTTCACTTTGTTCTCTCTGTTCATGAGGTTTCTGACCAGAGTCAGACTCTGCTGCGAGTCACTCAGAGCCTTGTTAGCGTTTCTTTCCACAGCGTCTGCGAACGTCTGATGACTGGAAGGCAAAGGCGTCGGCGTTAGAGACGGTGGGTAACATGGACCGGTCTGCGTGGTAGCCAAAAAACGTCTTACTAATTTGTGAAATCAGCACTTACTTGTTAGCCAGGTTGGTAGCCGTCGTCACCAGCGAAGACAGGTCGTTTGAACCCAGCGGAGAGTCGCTCTGAGGTACATCCTGAAAAATAAACAGAGGTTAGACAAGAAAACATCGTTGCCAATTTGTCAGCTTCTGTTTTCCCAAAATTTCTTGTCTTCTCTAAACCTTTGCCTGTTGCCTCTAAATACACGCACACCCAAATACAACACAACCCCTCTAAAATAAAATAATGATTCTGTCAAACACGACGTGTTCATCTCTGCGTCTGTCAGCGTGGAGCCTTACAGCGAACTCGAGGTCAGATTTGGCCTTCTCCAGCTGGACTTTCATCTCCTCGATCAGCTTCTGGACCTCCCCCACCTTCGTCTTGTACGTCTGTTGCTGCAGTTTGATGTCAGCGGCTGCGTCCTTGATGTTTAGGAGATTCTCCTCCTCGTCCAGCTGCTGCTTGCTGATGAACGACAGGCGGTCCTGCAGCCTCTTCTCCACTTCTGTTACAGACAAACAATAAGAAATCGACTTTATTTTAACCAATGAAACCTTCTCCAGTACATCTGCTATGGAAACCTGAGCGAAACCATTCGGCTGCAGGTCTACTAAGTTCTTCTAAAAACTGCAAGTTCACTTAACCAAGTTATTGAGTAAAAATTTCTTATTAAAGCTTCTACAATGTGGATTTTTATTTTTACTAACTGTAACTGTAACAAACAGCAGCTGACTGATCACTTATAAACATAGGAATTAGTACATTTTCCCATTATACTCACATATTTTACTTTTAACATACAAGAAGTCACAACATGTTCAGCAGTCACAGCTTTAGTTTAGTGTTTGGCAAATTGGTACTGGGTCCTAAAAGCCTTCCGGTGATGGCACAGATAACATGCTGTCTTACTTGTGAGTTGCTTGGCGTCTTCCATCATGTCGTCCACCTGCTCCATAGCATCTGTCAGAGCGGCCTCTATCTCCTTGTTATTAGCTGGTTTCAATCCTCCGTCCGTGTCAGAGAACAAAGACTCCAGGTCCCTCAGTTTGGCAGCATAAGCAGCCATCTGAGCCAAAAGGAATACGTTTAGATGCCACAGTGTCTTAATAAGCAGATGAAACTTCAGAGTTTCTATAGGGTGATATTGTGATAATATTGTTTTATTATGATGATCATAAACTGCAAATGTAATATCTCAAAGCCTCAGGTGGTATGATATGGAAAATATAGCATCCACACAGCAGGGGGCGCTCTGTAAAATAAACGTAACACTTTCTGTGTATGACAGCAGGCGCCTGTTACAGGTACCCCACCTTTGCTTTGATGGGGGTGAAACAGGCGGGGCAGCTGGATCGTTGGCACCTCAGACCCTCGAAGCCCGGTCTGCACCGACACTGCCCGGAAGCATC